TGCAATTGGGTTATAAAGATTAGACAGCCCTACAATTACAGCAGCGACTGGATCTACCATTGGCGTGACGTTGCTATTGATGGCGTAGACGCTCGTAGTTTGAGCAGCAGGATATACACCATTGGATAGCCCAACGATAGCTCCAAATCCAGAGTTATCAATCTGAAGTTGAGGAGTGTATGCAGTGGCTGACATTGTGTGTATCCAGTGACATTCTTTACAGGCAGCATCGTGAACTGAATCGCATACGCGGATGGATTCTCCGCACACGAGATGAAGTAGTAGTATTCACCGGTCGTGTTGTTGGTCAGATACAAGTTGTTTTGAATACTCCAATATTGCAGGTAGTTGTTGATATCACTTGCTGAGTATGTACCATCTGGCAAGGTGATTGAATACGTAGTTGTTGTTGCTGCTATTGGCCAAATGATTTTGAATGAGTTGTTTTGGCGTTGAGCAGTGATTGCCTTCCAGCTGTAATAAATTGAGATCGAGCCAAGTGCGCATTCAAACTGACTGAAATCAATCGGTTGACTGAATTGATATCGGAATTGATGCTGGGCAACTTGATTGTTGAAGTTCAACAAAACTGGAAATGACATTTTGATTTGCTTATATATACACAAGTGAAGAAAATGCATCGACGTAAAAGAATTCGCAGGCAGATGATGCCACAACCAATGGATGTTGACGGTGGTGGTGTCACCTCCGGAACTGTCAAGCCGCTTGGACCCTCCAAGACAGACCATGGCTTCACAAACATTGAGACTCTAACGAAGCAACTGGAGAAGGTCAATGTTAGCCAACTCGCCAAGGAGCAAAAACAAAGGCAAAGAAGCCCAAATACATTGATACGAGTAAGCTACTCACCTTCAAGCGTGACTCTAAGAGAGCTTCATCATCCGCTTGAATTGGGTATAATAATTTGTTGAAAATACTCCTTTCTCGTACAGCATGTCAAGAAGTTGCTTCATTTCCTTTTTTATACCAGGATTATCATCTCCAATAGCCGTAGCACCTTGTAACATTTCCAAGCGCTTTACAACACCATCCAGTTGCTCATTGTACGCCGAATCAAATTCTCTTGATATGACATTTGTTCAAGCAATATCTCATGAAGTCTTGCTCAGGCTCATCTAGAAGGCTGAAGAGATGCTTATCGAAGCTCTTCTCATCTTCAATCAAGTGCCATTGATCAACGAACGCATGAGAGACGAGCATAGTCTTCAGATTTACATGTGTTTTCCGTTTCGTAGACGCGCGTGTAACCCATTGAAATTCATAACATGTGGGCCGCGTTTGGTCGTCATTTGGTTTATATATTGAGTGAATTGATATTACTTCTCAAATATTTCAATTTCAAGTGATTTATCACTGCCTGTTGGAGTGAAATCTCCATGGAATATACGTTCCCTACGTGCTCTAGAGCGTGTTTGCGGTTTAGCAGGTGATTGAGGTTAAGGAACTGGTTCATATGAGAAGTCAGGATCTTCTTCAACAACTTCTGATGCTTAGGATCTGTTTCCAATCTGTTGTAGCTTGTATTTGCAGCAAACGTGCTATGGAGTAGCTTTGCGTGAAGGTCATGCTTCTCTCTATTTGTCAGCTTCGCATACGTTTGTCATGGCTCATTTCGAGATCGCGAATAATTATTTGTTTTAGTTCATCTAGATTCTGAGTTTTGGATTTAAGCTTTGACATTTTTTTATTTGGTGCTTATATATAAGTTATCACAGTTAACGCGATTGCTTCGAAATCTGCTAAAGATGAATAAAGAGTTTCGTGTTAACCTTAGCCACGCGCAGGCCTTAAAGGTTTTGCATGGAAAGCCTGTTCGATTGACGCATGCTCAGCTCAATGCTGGTCATGCTCACTATTTTGGACCCGAGACGTACAAGAAGCTTGTCAAAGCGTATGAATCTGGTAAAGGAACGACTTTACATATGACTCACCGTGAAGTTTTACGTACGCATCAATCTGGACTCGATGGAAGTGCATTTTGGGGGAGATTTATGGGATGGCGTCAAAGAAGCTGGAAAATCAATTTGGGGATTTTTGAAAAATAATTGGAAGTCAATTGCTGGCTCTGTAATGGATACAGTTGCTGAAATCACCGCACCAGAAACTGGTGGATTCAATTCGAAAGGGAATTAAGCAAGTGATTGGGGTTGGCATGGCTCAACCTCGTCGCAATCGCCGTATTGCTGCTTTGGGAAGCTTTAGACTTGGTTAAAGTCAATTGGAAAGAAGAACCCATAAGGAGTGGCTCCACTTTCTTTGTATCGCTTGAATGTGATACGCTTGTCCAACTTCGAGAGCTTCTCACAAAATTTCGATCGCTTATCAGGGACTTCACCAGCTGTCTCACACCATCTTTGATAGTGCTGATACATAATATCTCTCTCCACGCGATATTGGCCCTGCGATTCAGTGTGTACGATTCCATTTAATCCCGATTCCTTAAGCTCATTGACATAGTTGACAATTCCCTCATTGCTAGCAGTTGTCATTGAATCATAGATAGGCATTCGAAAGAAGGATTTTGGCTTGGGATTGGCAAACTGCTTCAAAAATAGAATTTGTTCATCTCATTCTCATTCTTGATCACATCATCAATCAGCTTGCCATAATAGACCTTGTTGTGCTGTTCCGCTGGATTTACATCGAAAAGTGTCATCTTGTCTTCGACGATGCCAATCAAGTTGTTGGAAGCACCAATAAATTCAGTGATGTCGCCATGTACTTCTTCTTCATGGTAGAGTTTTCGACTAGATTGCACGGAATCGGTGATTGCAGACTTCATTCGCTCAAGACAATTACGAAACGAGCGCTTATC